TCTCTCTCTCCTGGCACAGCCTGAGGCCCTGAGCAAGGGCAGCCGGGTGGCACAGCTGACAGGGGACAGAGACACAGCATGGGCCCTGCGGCTGGCAGAGCAAGAAGCCTGGAGTCCTGGGCCCTCGGGCCTGCCAGGCATGGGGGCTGCCCTGAGCCTCCTCCTGGGGATGGAGCTGAGCACACTGCTGCGGGGGCACAGAAAGACCCCCTCCCCCCACAAGCCTCTCGGGGATGACAGCGTCAGTGGAACCTGGCCGGTAGGCCCCAGGCAACAGCACTGTCCGTCTCCAGGGAACATGGAGAGGCCACCTGTACTGGCACTGACGCTTCCCCCACACACACACACCTGGTCAGGCTGCCACCCCAGGTCCAAATCTGGGGCATGTTGTCCACCTCTGTCCCAGGGTGTTGGACAGAAGGGAACAGGGAACAGCTGGCAAGCCAGCCCACAGTCAGACTCAGAGAACTTCCCCGGCACGGGGATGGGGGGTGGGTGGGTGGGGCTCAGCCTCCTGCAGAAGGCGGGGACTCTGTGTCAGAGTGGGGAGGGGCTGAGGGCACTGTGCCCCCCCTCCCCATCTCATCCTGGATCCCACCTGCAGGGCAGCTCTCAGCTCCTCAACAGCAGGTTCCTAAGGAAAGGCCCATGAGGTACTCCCTTAGGTAAACTGAGGCTTGGGGAGAAGAGAAAGCTTGGGGGTGAGGGCCAGGGGGGACCAGAGCAGCCTAAAGTGGCCGCAGTTACCATGGCAACAGACACCACGGGCAGGCCTGCAGACACTTGCTCTGGCCTGGAACCCTCTGAAGGCAGGGCCAGGGGCCAGACAGCTCCCTCCACCCAGGACTGCATTGTTGTCCCAGGAGGCTCATCCAGGAGGTGGGTCTGCATCTCCCCTGGAGCTCTCACTCCTCCAAGGGGCAGCGTCTGTGAGTGGGGGGGAGGACATTCCCTTCTCCAGGGCCCCAGAGAGCAGGGTCTGACCTGGTGAGCTCTTGGTGGGGTGGGGGCAGCCTCCTACCCCCAACACCTCCAGGGGCTGAAGGAGCAGGTGGCAAAGACTTGGCAGGGAGCCCAAACGAGATTGCATGGTGGCGGAGGGAGAGGGGAGTTTCTCAGGGAGAACTGGTCTCCCTCGGGCCAACCAGGTCTCAGATGCCAGGTTGCTAGCTCTTAGCCTCCAGGGGCCGAGCCGTGCTCTGCAGACAACAGCGCTTCCTAGGAAGAAGCCAGGGTGTGGGATACAGAAAGATTTCTCCCAAGTTGTCTCCTTCAAATATATGCCAAACCTAGCTGCTTGCTACACGACTGACTGTACACTTGTAGGTCATTGCAAGCAGGTCAGAGGTTACTCACCCTAACAGTTGTCAGCCATCTAGAGCAATCAGACTGTATAGTCTATCCCACCCTAAGTAGGGCTCACTCCCTTCTGATAAGGATAGTAGATTATTTCCCTGAAGGAGAGCCCAGTGAGGTCAAGCCGACTCAAAGGTGACCAAGATTAGGCTGCCATATTGAGTCTAGCGTCCGCCCATCTTGTCACGTGTACCCCAATCCCTCTCCTTCCTATTGAGTGTACACCCCTAGCTCATCCCCTTCCTGTGACGCTTATGCCTATTGCACATCCCCTTCCTGTGACATGTGTGATTACCTGTGATCACGTCCCTAAGTATATACGGGCCTTGGCCAGAAATAAAGACCCTCCCGCTCTCTTTGTTCCACGCACCTGGCTGGTGAGATCATGGCCATCCAGGAGGTGAGCATGCTACCATGGAACATGTCTGACATCTCTGTTTTACTCTCCCATCTCCCCTATTCCCTAAGACTTTGCTACAATCTATATATTTTAACCGTGCAATGCACTTACTAGACCCATGACAGTGTGAGGGACTGGCTTCCCCCACACCTGGGCACTAAGCAGCCGGAGCTGTGCGTGGTCCTGTGGCCCTGCACCCCGTGCCCTCCTTCTTCCCCGAGGAGGGATCTCAGGGCCAGCTTGGGCCAGCAGCAAGCACCCAAGGCAGCCAGGTCCTGAGGCTGTGGGAAGGAGGCCCTGGTGATGCCTGGGGCACGGTAGGAGGGCCCGTTCTGGGGCCCTCGGGCCTGGGGGTGACCATGACAGTGCCAGCCAATGCAGAAGTGCCCAGAGTGCCCCTGTGGGTGTCTGGGGCTGTCACCTTTACTGAGGCCTCACTGCCCCCTCAGAGCCCTCGGTAGGTTCAGACTGCTGACCTTTCGGGGGCAGAGGGATCCCGTGACCAGCATTGCCAACATGGGCTGTCAGGTGTACGCCCAGAGCACCCTCAGGGCCTTCTCAGTTCCTCGGACAGTCACGGGACTACACGGTGACGTGACGGATTTCCCCACAAGCTTCTGGAAGCTTGCCTGCACCTGGACAGACGTCCCAGCAGCGCCTGCTTGCCTGCCTGCCATGACAGCCAGGAAGTGGAAACACCCCAGAGCCCACTGACAGGCAACCGGCGTCTGCGATCCCCGTGACCCCCGCTGCAGCAGGCACAACCAGACCCAAGGGGTGGCTGCGTGTTGTGTGACTATGCTGACCTGGGACGAGGAGAGAAAAGGATGTGGCAGAGGAAGGGGCCGGGTGTCTTTGGGATGTGGTGGAGCTGGCGGGTGTGGCTGGCTGCAGGGACCTGCGTTCCAGAGACCAATCCACGGTCTGCGCGCCGTAAGGCCTGTAAGGTGGTTGGGTGGGTGTGTTGCCTGAGGGGAGTGGCCCTGACTGGGACAGAGAGGATCAGGCAAGAATGGGCGGCCCAGAGATGCTGACTGGACCCTGCCAACCAGCCTTAGGAGCTGGCCACTGCCCGTCTTCCCCTGGCCCTGTGAGAGCCCGAGAGGCAGTGACCAGCCAGACAGATGCGGTTTGCGGGTGGAACCCTGGGCTGGGAGGCAGAAGCCCAGACAAGCTGGCCTATATTCCCCACCAGAGAGGCAGACCTTGGCCCACTCCCACACACACACACACACACAGTGCTGCAAAAGCCGTGCACGCTCCCCCCCCCACGCCGTCAGGTGTTGCTGCATTCTGTCGGCTCAAACCGTACCCGGGTTCTCGCTATATTAGATGGGCAATACGCAATTATGCAGATGAACTGCGTGACGAGGACTTCATGGTCCGCGTGGAAAGCGGTTCGGGGAACGTGGGAAAAACTGGGAGCCTCCTGCTACACACTGGCCGGCGTGGCACTGAGCTGGGCAGCGCCGGGCCTAACTTCAAGTGACCTCGCTGGGAGCCGAGCCCCGACTAGGTGCTAGCTTCTCCCGCCCACCCCACACGAGGCAGCTTCCAGGGGTTCACAGAACCACCGCCTGACACTCTCATTCCGCTTGCTCCCAAAGGTTTGAAAACGCCTGTGGTAAACCACGCCCTGGGGGAGACCCCAAAGCCAC